AGGCTGGGTAATTTATACAGAAAAGAGACTGACCCATAGTTCTGGCAGTTCAGGAGCCTGAAGCTGGCATCTGTTCAGCTCTGGTGAGGGCTTCCTGATTGGATGGCATGCCAATGGCAGGAGCCCTTGCAAGAGTGGCAAGAAGCACCTTTGTGAAAGGTGCCAGTCCACCTGTGACAACTTGTCCCCTGGGCGGTTGGGCTGATCCTGCATCAGTCTCTCCGAGGGTGAGGCCTCCCACTAGGCCCCGCCTCTTAGCATCCCCCCACCCCTACCGGCCATGATGGCACCAAGCTGGTCATCCAGGAGACTGTGGGGGACAAGCCACGCCCAAGCCCCAGCAAGGGACAGTGGTATATTTCTACATCTTGCCCTGATATCTTTCAAAACCTCCTTATCTATTTTTCCAGACTTACAAGTTGGGATTTTCAGAGGAAACATTAGTTTGGGAGAGACAATCTTAAGTTCATTTCTCTGTGTGTTTGGAAGCGTGGGCATGTTTGAGCAGTTACTTCTTCAGGAAAAACAAGGGAGGGCACCCCAGACGGGCAGAATTTGAGCTAATTTGGCCCCGACCTCTCCTGCCCTGCTCCGTCGGCTTTGGTGCTGGGCTCCTGCTACCTTATCTTCCTCATGCCAGGCGGAGCCAGGATCAGGAGGAATGCGGTTGGAATTCCCCAGTCTGTGCTGGTCTGTGTAAGCCACTGTGTCTCCCAGGACCTGCGTCCTGCAGGCTGAGCTGGCGGGTGATGGGGAAGAGAAGGCCAGGCAGGCCTCTTGGCGGACATGGCGGGTCCATCCAGGCTGCTCAGCTGTGCCAACGGGCACCTGCACCCTCCTGGGCGTCATTCACTCATGTTCCCGTTCACAGCCACTCTCATGCTTAGATCCCCAGTGCTGGCCACAGCATTTGAAGGACGGGTCACAAAAGACGTCCATGGTGCAGGTCACACATAAATGCCAGATTGAGATAGAGTGAGTCTGGGTCAATCAATTGGTTTGACACCTAAAACCCAACACGAGAGCGTCTGCTCTGAGAGAGTGAGGGCTGTGCTGGGAGTTTGTTCATTTCAGGTGTCTGCTGAGCCGCACTTGAGCCCACGTCTTGCCTAACCTTGCTTAGGAACAAAACTCTCCGGCCCGAGCTGTCAGCGAGCCAGGAGAAGCTTTCTGTTCACTTTTGCTGCCCAGTACTGACTCAGTCACAGGAATCTGCCTCTGCCCACAGGTAACGTATCTCACGCACGCCTGCATGGACCTCAAGTTGGGAGACAAGAGGATGGTGTTCGACCCTTGGCTAGTGGGTCCCGCTTTTGCCCGAGGGTGGTGGCTGCTGCATGAGCCTCCCTCCGACTGGCTGGAGAGGCTGTGCCGGGCAGACCTGATTTACATCAGCCACATGCACTCGGACCACCTGAGGTAAGGAGCCTGGCACCACCTCGGGGCCAGTACCGCTGCCATGCGAGCAGGACGGTCCTCAGTTCTCCTGCAGTGACCGCTCGCTCCGAAGCACTTCAGCTGG